TGCCATTCCAGCAGTTTTATAGTTCTGTCTTGTGCTTTTAATTTGTATTTTCTTAATGACTGATTATGTCAAGCATCTTTTCCTATGGTTATTTGCTATCCAAATATCTTATTTAGTAAAGTATCTCTTCAAATCTTTAGTACAGTTTTTAAATAGTTGTCTGTTACTGACTTAAAAGAGTTCTTTAGGGGCGCCTGGGTGGCTCAGTCGTTAAGTGTCTGCCTTCGGCTCAGGTCATGATCCCAGGGTCCTAGGATCGAGCCCCGCATCAGGCTCCCTGCTCAGCGGGGAGCCTGCTTCTCCCTCTCCTACTCTCTCTGCTTGTGTTCCCTCTCTCGCTGTGTTTCTCTCTGTCAAATGAATAAATAAAATCTTTAAAAATAAATAAATAAATAAAAGAGTTCTTCACAGTCTAGATAAAAGTCTTCGGTCAGATAAATGTTTTGCAAATATTTTCTCCTAGTCTGTAGCTTGCCTTGTTGTAACAGTGTTTACTGAAGAGCAAAAGTTTTACAATTTTGAGCAAGTCAAATTTATTGATTTTTTTCTTTTATGTTTCATATTTAAGAAATATTTGTCAAATCTAAGATCACTATAATTTTCCCCTTATAGAAAGTTCATACTTTTACACAAACATTTATATCTACAATCCATTTCAAGTTAATTTCTTCATATGGCACAAGGTAAGGGTCAAAGTTCATTATTTTTCATAAGGCTATACAATTGTAATAGCACATTTGTTGAAAAGAGATCCTTTCCCCACTGAATTACCTTGGCACCTTTGTAGAAAATCAATTAATCATATATGTATGGGTCTATTTCAGGACTCTCTACTCTGTTCCATTGATCTATATGTCTATCTTGGTATTGCCACACAGTCTTGATTACCAGAGCTTTATAGTAAGTCTTGAAATCAGGCAACATGCAACCTCCAGTTTTGTTCTTCTCTGTTTTGGCTATCCTGGGCCCTTTGCACAACCATATAAATCTTAAAATCAGTCTGTTGATTTCTATAAAGAAGCCTGCTACAATTATCTTTGGGATTGTGCTTAATCTATAGATCAATCTGAATAGAACTGGCATCTTAACAATACTGAGTCTTTTAATTCATGAGCATGGTATTTCTCACCGTTTACTGAAGTCTTACATAATTTTTCCCAGTGCTGATTATAGTTTTAGTGTACATGTCTTGTAAATATCCAGGAATGGAATGGTACATACTTTTGATCCTATTAAAAAGATACTTTAATAAATTTAATTTCCAATTTTTCATTGCTAATATATAGGAGTACAATTGACTTTTTCATATCAAACTTCTGTCCTCCAACCTTGCTAATCTCACTTATTAGTTCTAGGAGCTTTTTGTAGATTCCTTAGGATTTTATAGGTAGAAAATCATATGATCTGAGAATAAAGAGAGTTTTACTTCTTCCTTTCCAATCTGAATGCTTTTTTTTTTCTTTTGCTTTATTGTGCTGGCTCGAATATCCAGTACAGTGTTGAATAAAGGGGATGAGAAGAGACATTCTTACCTCATTCCCAATAGTGGAGGAAAAGCATTCAGTCTTTCACCTTACTAAGAATGGTAACATCTCTAGAGATATTCTTTGCCAGATTGAGGAAGTAATCTTTTATTTCTAGTTTGCTGTGAGTTTTTATTATGAATGGTTGTGGACTTTTGTCAATTGTATTTTCTGCATCTATTAAAATGATGGCATTGACTGAAATATGGTGTTTAGTCTATTAATACGGTGAATTACATCAAATGGCTTTTCAAATATTAAACCAACTTTGCATGCCTGAGATAAACCCCATTTGCTCCTGTTGTATTACCCTTGTAATATAATATGTTGCTGGATTCTATTTGCTAATGTTTTGTTGAGGACTTTTCAACTATGTTTGTGGGGAGTACTGGTCTGTAGCTTTCTTCTCTTATAATGTCTTTTCCTAGTTTTGATATTAGGGCAATGCTGCCTTCATAGGATGAGTTGAAAAAGATTTCCTCCTCTTGCATTTTCTGAAAGCATTTGTGTAGACTCGGGATTATTTCTTCCTTAAATGTTTAGTAGAATTTATGAGTAATGAACCATCTAGGCCTCCATATATTCTCAACATCTCTATTAACATGTTTGAAAAGAAATTAAAACTTAACATGGCCAAGCAGAACTCACAATTTTTGCACCCAAACATGCTCTTCCCTACTATTCCTCATTTTAATTAATGACATCATACTCACCCACTTGGCTTAAACCAGACTCTTAATCCTTGATTCCCCCCTTCCACTCATCCTACCCCTCAAATCCATCTTCAAGTCCCATAAGCTCTACTTTCAAAATACATCCCTACTTCTCTCCATCTTTACCGTCATGACTCAGTCTACGTCTCCTAACTGGCCATGGCACCACACATTGCCCCCACTAATTCCATTCTCCAAATAGCAGCCAGAGTAATTTTTGTCTAAATAAGACCATGTCACTCCCTGGCTTAAAACTCCCATCTGGCCCTTAATCTCTTCTGCCTTTAGATATTAACTGTAAAATAGAAAAACAACAAGCTGTGTCAATACAGCCTGAGTATACTGACTGTGGGAACGCTATAAGAATTTCAGTAAATTCTTATCTGCTTAACTAGCTCCACTGACCTAGGAATTACAAAATCACAAATGCAGGCCTCTTGGGAAAAAACACAACTTTGCTGTGTTCAGTCTCAAAGGAGGTATAGGTTTTTGTCTAGAAGCAAAGGCACCAAGGCAGAAATAAGAATGCCGAAGTCCTAAGCTGTCCTTCTACAACTTTTGATAACAATAAACACCCTCACCTCCAACCTACTCGCATCTTCTTAGGCTTCCTGTCCAAAGCAAGAGTGCATCTGACAATACCGGGAAAGGCTATGCTTGCTGGTCTTAAATACAAATGGGGTGAAGAACCAGGAAAATAATGCAACTGATTTATTTATTCATATGTTTGTTTTTTTAGCCATCCCCGGCCACAGCTAAGGTAGGAAGGATGTCAGGCAACTTGGCCTTGCTCTTTTTTTTTTCCCCACAGAGTTTATCTATCCATTTGAGAGAGTGTGCAAGAGCGGGGGCAGAGGGAGAAGCAGATTCTCTGCTGAGCATGCAACGCAGGGCTTGATCCCAGGACCCCGAGTTCATGACCTGAGCCGGAGACAGACACTTAACCGACTGAACCACCCAAGCGCCCTGGCCTTGCTCTTTCTGAATCAACCTCATCCATCTCTGCAGAGCTCAACAGGTGCTCTACTATATGCTCTCCATTCCTATTATTCTTCAGCCAGTCAACACCTTACACCTGCTCTGGTCAGCTCTAGACTCACCCAATTTGCTAATTACTCTTCTATTTCTTTCTATTCTACCCATTCTCACTCCTTAAGTTAAAGGAAACCACCATCTTTCTTGTTCCTTCTCTGGGTCATCTAATTATGCCTCTTTACTCCCTCAAATGACCTCTAGGGATAACTCCTTTAGTCTGACCAGGCCCGAATGCACTCCTCTTACCTTCCCAGATCTCATCAACACTGCGCTAGATGATGCTTTCCAGAAAAGAGGAAGTGGCCCAAATCAATCTATGTTCCTAGGACCTGGAACCAACCCTTAGCTGTGCTCCTGGGGAATCAAGGGAGGATAGAATCACAGCTGGCAGCAACTGGGGCTGGGCTGGGGGATGGGGCTAGGATGACTTACTCTTATAAAACACTCTGCACTTAACTTCACGGCACTAATCATAATTATCCTTACATCTGTGTGTGAGTAGAATCTGTCTCTTCCTACGTGCACTCCCCATCAGACTGAAAGCTCCAGGAAGGAAAGAGCTATGTCTCTTGATCATTAACATACCTACACCCTAGAAATGCCCATTCTGACTCACTCTAACCCTATCAGATAAAAACAAATTTACATCTTGACAAAGCTTTGAGATAAAGTAGTATTTCTTCCATTTCTGTAAAAGCTAATAATAAAAACTGACATTGCTTGAACTGCTACCATGGGTCAGGCACCATTCTAAGATTTTTACATGAATTCTCATTTAATCTTCATGACAAACCTATGAAGTAGGTACTATGATTATTCCCATTTTACAGATGAGGGCTTTGAGGCACAGAAAGGTTATATAATTCACCCAAGGTTATATAGATGAGTGGCAGAAATGGAATTCAAACCCAAGGAGCCTAGCCTAAAACCCCACTCTATTAATCCCTACAGTACCTCTCACTGAAGAGGACACCATATTCCTCAATACCAGTGAGTTGAGCCAAATAAAATAAAAGATATGAAGAAATGCTATGAAGAAAAACCCAGACTTAGACACACAAGTTGCCAGGTCTACAAGACAATTCAAAGAAACTGCTACTATGAATCATTTACTTAAAACAAATTGGTTTTATTTAAAACAATCATCAAAAAACACATTTTTCTTTTCAATTGACATATACAGAGACTAAAACCCAGGATATTCTCACGTTAAAAACATTTTCTTCTGCCACCAGATCCCTGTTTTATTAAAAGACAGAGTCTATTTTTGTCTGCCAAGGAAAGCCCAATCACCAAACTGGAACCTACAGAACTAGGTATGTGTTGCTTGGGTTTTCCCGTAGAGGCAGCAAGAACGTGTAAAGACTGCCACCATGCCCATGGCTTTGTCTTTCCAGTTCTCCCACCATTAAATGTGGGAAAATAACACATATCAGAAGTTTCAATGTGCCCTGCAAGCTTTTCTTCTATACTAAAAATTACCAGAAATCAATGCAAGGCATATGACAGGGAAGACAGATCACAGGGAGGGAGCAAGGAGAACAACTCAAATCATTAAATGTCTGCCCACCAGATGCTTCTAAGTTCAAAGCACTGCATGGCCGGCTTCTGAGGCAACTATAGGACCTTAGGAGTCCGTGACTACTCCAATTTATGATGTTTCACAGCTGCACCATAGAATAAAAAGGTCCTGAGTAGTGTATTATTAGAAAAGGAAAATTTAACTCACCTTCCATTGCTCCTCTGGAAGCAGCTTCACGACCACCAGATCCCCATTCAAGGCTCTATTACGAGCAACAACCCCATCGATAAAAATGTCTCGATCACCATCCTAGGTTGAAGAGAGAACATAATCAGCTTACCAAGACCTGGAACCAAAAATTACTTCCTTGGTTTAAAAACTGTAGACTCTACAATCTGTCCACTGACTTAACAAGAACACTAAGAGGGAAATCAGTTTCTTTGGGACTAAACAGAAATGGGGATGAACACACAAAAGCAGGTTAACAGAATGTTAAAGAAATTTCAAAAACATAAGAGAAGATCTCCCACAGGCAGACCAAAAACAAACAAAAATACATAAAGTAAAAAACAGAGACTACATGCTTTCATAACTGAAATGAGAAAGAAGTTATCCTTTCTTGTTTTAAATAAAATAAAGCATGATGATACCCTTTCTATGCTAATTTTTTTTAAGTATCAGAGAAGGGTGAAACATAGAAGGTTTGCAAGAAAACAGAAGAACAACAAATATAATTCCCTAAGAAAACCAACTTAGGACAGGAGCAACAACCAGCTCCAGGATCTGAGTTCTCTAAAGAAGAAACCAACAAAATCATAATCCTCCCACTGAGAAAATGACAGAGAAAGCAAACTGCGGTTGCTTTTATGGAGACCTAGATAGAAGGCAAAGAAGAAAAGGAAAGGGACATGAGATTCATGAAGCATTCTCACACTCCTTCACTCTCTGACTGAGAAGGAGGGTGAACTCCCTACTGTGAACACAAGGCATGGACACCTTCGTCCTCAATCACATGCTTACAAATAACCCACGTTAGGGACAGTGTGGTCTCAGGATCCTTGGGGTCACAGGAAGATCGGCAGTGCCTGAATGCGGCAGTTCCCAGGCATCGGAATGGGGAAGCCGGCTGTAATCAGTGAGCCCAGGAGTGGGCTCTCAGCTCCGGGTTGCCGTAAACCGCAAACCACACAGTTGGGCGACCCCTCCCAGCAAGCAGCAGAATCACCAGAAGACTTCCCCAGGAGGAGTGGCATGTTTGTGAGCTGCAGGAGTCTGCAGGGTTTGGAGACTCTAAAAGGGGTCGTGTGCCTGAGATAGAAACACTCAGTCCCAGGCTGGGTAAGCATGGAGTACCGAAAGAGACCAGGGAGTGACTGACTTCTTTTCCCTGCGGGCACCCTGAGGAGTGCCGGAGATCGGCAGGCTGCCATTTTCATTCCAGATTACTTAACCTGGCCCCCTGGTAAGGGCGGTGCAATTCTGCCCTGGGCAAAGACACTTGAGAAACAGCGCAACAGGCCCCTCACCCAGAAGATCAGCAAGAAGACAGGCTAAGACCAAGTTTACCAATCACGGAGAACCGCAAGACTCCAATGCTAGAGGAAAAAAGTATATAGAATTTATGTTTTTTTCCCCCATGATTCTTTACTCTTTCAATTTTAACTTTTTTCTTTTTCTTTTCCTTTTTTTTTTTAAGATTTTATTTATTTATTTGACAGAGAGAGAGCACAAGCAGGGGGAGTGGCAGGCAGAGGGAGAGGGAGAAGCAGGCTCCCCGCTGAGCAGGGAGCCCAATGCAGGACTCAATCCCAGGGCCCTGGGATCATGACCTGAACCAAAGGCAGACACCCCACCAACTGAGCCACCCAGGTACCCTCTCTTTCCTTTTTCAATGAATTTCTTATTTTATCAACTCCTTTGTTAAAATCTTTTTTAATTTTCATTTTTATATTTATATTCTATCCTTTTATTTATTTTTGTATATATGTACGTTTTTCTTTCTTTACAACTTTGGGGTACAGTTTCTTCTAACAAACAGACCAAAATACACCCAGAATCTAGTGTATGGCTCTGTTCTCTTCACCTTTTTTTGTTTTTGTTTTTTTGTTAAAGTCTTTAATTTTCATCTTTATAGTTACATTCTATCCTTTCACTGTATTATTTATTTTTGTATGTATATAAGTTTTTCTTTCTTTACAATTTTGAGATGTAGTTTCTTCTAACAAACCAACCAAAATACACTCAGGATATAGTGTATTGCTCTGTTCTGTTCACCTGTCTGTTTATATTCCTTTTATTTTTTTTGGTCTTTTAATTTCATTTTTACAATTACATTCTATCCTTTCATTGTATTTAATTTTATTTTTGTACATATATAAGTTTTTCTTTCTTTAAAATTTTGGGATCTAGTTTTCTAACAAACAGACCAAAATGCACACAGGATCCTGTGTATTGCTCTGTTTTTTCCACCTGTCTGATTATATGCTCTTTTTTTTTATTTTTTTTTCAGTTTCGGGTCTCTTCTGATTTGTTTAGTGTATACTTCTCTGGGGCCATTGTTTCCATTTTAGTATTTTGTTCTCTTACTCATCTATGCTCCTCTGGACAGAATGACAAGACAGGAAAAACCATGTTGGAACTAGAGTTCAGAATAACGATTATACAAATACTAACTGGGCTTGAAAAAAGCATAGAAGACACTAGAGAATCCCTTTCTGGAGAAATAAAAGAACGAAAATCTAATCAAGTCAAAATAAAAAAGGTATTAATGAGATGCAATCAAAAATGGAGGCTCTAACTGCTAGGATAAATGAGGCAGAAGAGAGAATTAGTGATATAGAAGACCAAATGATGAAGAATAAGGAAGCTGAGAAAAAGAGAGAAACAACTACTGGATCATGAGGGGAGAATTCAAGAGATAAGTGATACCATAAAGTGCAACAATATGAGAATAATTGGGGTCGCAGAAGAAGAGGAAAGAGAGAGAGGGCTAGAAGGTATATTGAAGCAAATTACAGCAGAGAACTTCCCTAATCTGGGGGAGGAAATAGGCATCAAAATCCAAGAGGCAAAGAGAAGCCCCCTCAAAATCAATAAAAATAGGTGAACACCCCAATATATAATAGTGAAACTTACAAATCTCAGAGACAAAGAGAAGATTCTGAAAGCAGCTCGGGACAAGAGGTCTGTAACCTACAAGGGTAGAAACATTAGACTGGCAGCAGACCTATCCATGGAGACCTGGCAGGCCAGAAAGGACTGGCATGATGTATTCAGGGTGCTAAACGAGAAAAATATGTAGCCAACAATACTTTATCCAGCTAGGGTGTCATTCAAAATATAAGGAGTGATAAAAATCTTCCAGGACAAACAGAAACTAAAAGAATTTGCAAACACCAAACCAGTCCTACAAGCAATATCAAAAGGGGTCCTCTAAGCAAAGAGAGAGCCCAAAAGTAGTAACACAGACCAGAAAGGAACAGAGACAATATACAGTAACAGTCACCTTACAGGCAATACAAAGGTACTAAATTCATATCTTTTAATAGTTACCCTGAATGTAAATGGGCTAAATTAGACTGGATAAAAAAAAGCCAGATCCATCAATATGCTGTCTGCAAGAGACTCATTTTAGATCCAAAGACGCCTCCAGATTTAAAGTGATGGGGTGGAAAACCATTTATCATGCTAATGGACATCAAAAGAAAGCTGGGGTGGCAATCCTTATATCAGACAAATTAGATTTTAAACCAAAGATTGTAATAAGAGATGAGAAAGGACACTATATCATAATTAAAGGGTCTATCCAACAAGAAGATCTAATAATTGTACATTTTTATGCCCCTAACATGGGAGCAGCCAATTATATAAGCCAATTAATAACAAAATCAAAGAAACACATTGATAATAACACAAAAATAGTAGAGGACTTTAACACCCCCTTCACTGCAATGGACAGATCATCGAAGCAGAAGATCAGCAAGGAAATAAGGGCTTTGAATGACACACTGGACCAGATGGACTTCACAGATATATCCAGACCATTCCATCTCAAAGCAACAGAATACACATTCTTCTCAAGTACACATGGAGAGTGTTCATTTTTCTTAAAAGAAGTAATAGCAAACAGGCTTAGAAAACCACCACTCAAAATTTTCTAGGTAGAGACACTTGGTATAGATAAGACTTAACACTCAACAGATTAAAGGTGATTACTGTAACAATTCAGTTAAAAATTAGCATTCCAAATTCACCAAATCTGCCCTGCCAGCACCAAAAATGGGACATTAGACACTCAGCATTTTTTATCGTTTCCAATTACAAACCATGAGAGATCTTTTAGAACAGTTTTTCTGTTCAATTTCCAACCTAACCATGGGCTGACAGCTGTGGCCGGCACATGCTGCCAAACCTGACCCACCCTAGTCCCTGAGGTACCACTACCGTGTTAGCCACAAAGACAGAATCACTGCAGTTGACCTCATGTTGAGCTTCTCAGAGAAATAAGGAAGAGGCAACCACTAAACAGAACGTGAACAACTGCAGGGTGGCACATGGTCATCAGTCGCTGCCTTCTGCAATTTATGTAGCAATAGAGTCCCTCCAACTTCCCCAGAATGAAGAGAGCTGTTTGGAAGTCATCCCAACCCATGATCACTGGTCAAAACACATGGAATGAAATATCTCTCTCAGAAGCAGGTACACCACCCCCAGACAGCTCAGAGATTTTAAGATGGTAAGATACTGCTATTGTCACATTCCCATCCAAAGAAATCAAGAAGGGCAGGGCCGAGTTGAACCTCAGACAATACACAAATCTCCAGGTATTGCGTCACTGCTCAGCTCTTACTGGATTCATTCAGAAGCCCGTACCTATTACAGAATCTCTTATTTTAAAGACCATAAACGTGGGAACAACTCAATATTAAAAGTTCGAGTCATCCCATTTAACTACTTTTAAAAGCTAAAGAGTTCAGCTCTTTATTTGAATGTCAAAGACTAGCTCTACCCGCCAGAAAGAATAGATAAAAAAGGAAAATGGATAATGAACCACCCTGGAGGAAATATAATGGGACCTGGGGGTAATCTAACTAAATACTTAGGAGGCTTTCAAGCAGGGAGGACAACCCAAGAGCATTCTCTATCAATGGAATAGCTCCCTTTGGACAAAATAAATTCCACAGATGTTCAAAGGGTACCTCCCATGACAAGATGCACAAAAAAGTTATAAAACCTCTTGCACCATCGTAATTCAGAACGGAGCCTGTACTTTTTGTAAAAAGCCAAGTTTCTATAGCCAGTCCATTTCTCCTCTGATATCCTATCCCCAAACAGGAAAAAAGGCATCTCAATAATATCAATTTATCTTGGTTTGCTTGAAAGTCACATGGTTTTACTCTATCTTACTTTTACTGAGAACCTCAGGAGACCAGCAGGGACATATATAAGTGACTTCTCCCATGTATTTTGGCTTTGTCAAAAGAAAATGAAAATCAACTTTCTATCAGCTGAAATTATAATGAACGTAAGTCAGCATTCCCCAAAACAAAGTACTTTTTTAATAACAAAGTGATGATGAATTCACTGTTCTTAGCCAACTGACGTAAATAGTATTTTAACATGGCAAATGACATTGTATAAATTCACAACTGTTTTTAGAGTCAGTAAGAACCTAAATAATCATATCTAGCCTATTTCTGTCTCTCCAAAAACTTTATAATTTTAAATTATAATTCAGAATTTTAAAATTGTAAGGAACATTAGACAATCTAACCCATCACTAGTTTTACAAATAAGTAATCTTTTCAATTTCTTATTGTCAGAGCAAAGGCTACATCTTCTTTTCTAACAATTCCTGTTTTTACGCTTCCCGCTAAAGCAGGGGACAGGTAACATTCAGGCCCTGGTTCTGATATTCTACTCCTAGTCCACCAGTGAGCATTTTTCCAGTTCATACCAGTTCACACTTGACATGGACATTAGCTACGTATACTCATAAATCCAGACCAGTGGTGGTTGTGGAATTCATCTACATATAACTTACTGCTTCTACTATCTCCTTCCTCAAGGCTTTCTAGAATGCCTCTAAACACTGAAACTCACCAAAAACTCCGCAAAACTAGAATGTAGGATTGTTCCAGTATCTACAACCAAAATTTACAACTGGGCCTTGACAGAGCTTTTACAGTCAGGTCTTAGTTACTTAGAGGTGAATTCTTTAGCATTTTTTCTCCCTCTGAGACAATATTACTACTCCATTAGTGGCCAAATAGGAGAATAAGGGGCATAAAAATAAGCCAATCCTAACATCACAACTGTCTAAAAGATTCTTAATAGGACGTGCCAGGAATATAATTTCAAGTAGGAGAACAACTTGGGCTTTTGAAACATTGGTAACTTTTGCTTCTTAACTTCCTTTAACAAGCCGAATTAAACTGTGACAACACATCATTTGCACCTATAAATAGATGAATTTAACTTATAGGAACCTAACTAGGCCTAGAGGACCTTTGCTCTGGCCCTTCTCCAGTCACACTCCTCCCCATAGGTAAAGAGTTCTTGGGGCCAAATGGATGTGCATCCCTGGAGTAATCAGCCCCAAGCCATACACAGGCATCTTCCCCAGGTCTGTCTGCCTGGAGGCAGACCACAGTCACTGGTGGCACGCACTGGTCTTGACTGGTGGCTAAAGGGCTATTTCTAAGGCATGTGGACAGAACTTGGACATGTGGGGTAAGATGCTCACATAGGTACATGCAAGGGCCCTCACTGGATGGGGGGTGGGGGGCATGGTGGAGACAGCAAAGAGGGGACAGGGAGCCAGGACTGACAAGGGAAGAGCGGCAGGCCAGAGGCAGACCCTCTCCATGCGGCCACTCTTGAGGATGGAGCTCCAAGGAGTCTACATTTGAACCCAGGTACACAGAGGTGTATTTAACAAGAAATATATTTTATTTGTCATGAATGTATTTTACCTAACAGTTTGTTAGTTTGATTTATAACTTCTAAATATTTTTTTAAAGATTTTATTTATTTATTTGACAGAGAGAGACAGCCAGAGAGGGAACACAAGCAGGGGGAGTGGGAGAGGGAGAAGCAGGCTTCCTGCGGAGCAGGGAGCCCGATGCGGGGCTGGATCCCAGGACCCTGGGATCACGACCTGAGCCGAAGGCAGACGCTTAACGACTGAGCTACCCAGGCGCCCCTATAACTTCTAAATATTTAATACAAAGTATGTGTGCCTCCATTTGTACTCTTGTCCTAGGCCCCACACTTGTCAGAAACCAGCCTACCAGGGATCCAACTTAGGGAAATTCCATACCCTGTACTCAGGGAAGAAAACAAGCAAGCAGTCAAATTTTCAAAATGCTCTATTAGTTCCCTTAACATTCCAGTCAATGACAGCAAACTTCAGTGGACACAGGAGATGGGAGGCTTGTAATGTGCTCAGCTCCCAAGTGTCTCTCAGGATGAGCTCCTTACTCCACTGGCTATTATTTTCATGCTTAAAAACCCATGTTTTTCATACACCGGGTGTCTATTATAATTGAGCTCCCTCAACTGGTATGCCAATGAAGAAACAGTTATTCTTTCTAAAGTAGAGAAAATGCTAGTTATGCTGGACTTCCGGAGAGATGATCTGTCTCTAATGTGGCATATTCCTAAGAGATTTTCATGGGTAATTTTTACCATCACTGAATGTGATTTTTGCCTTATGAGCAAAGTCAGGAATCGAACACCATGTAAACTGTGCTTCCACAGAATGATGAACCTGCTCCTGCAGCTAAGTCACTGCCTCAAAGCTGACCCTCAGTTGCACAAAGTACCAGGGTCAGAATATATAGCATGGTCCGTCAATGGAGCAGAACAGGATTCAGAGAGAACAAGGTGACACGTCAGTGATACTTTTTACCTAATTCACTGGGTAAGATGCAACTTGAGATACAAATGTGAATCCTTGACTTCTGTAGGGCAAGGGGGAAAAAAGAAATAAACTGAGCTTGAGAATAGGCCTTAAGGTTACTGGAACACCACTACAACCTGGGAAGCACATGACTGAACTTGTATTCTCAGTAAACTTGCCCTTTAACATCATGAAATATGTTAACTGAAATATATATACGTATTCCATTTCCGCATCAATAAGCTCAAGTGTATTGGGGCGCCCGGGTGGCTCAATCGGTTAAGCGTCTGCCTTTGGCTCGGGTCGTGGTCCCGGGGTCCTAGGATCGAGCCCCGCATCGGGCTCCCGGCTCAGCAGGAAGCCTGCTTCTCCCCCTCCAGCTCCCCTTGCTTGTGCTCTCTCTCTCTCTCTGTGCCCCTCACTGTCAAATGAATAAAATCTTTAAAAAAAAAAAAAAAAAAGCATCTGCCTTCAGCTCAGGTCATGATCTTAGGGTCCTGGGATCGGGCCCCGCATCGGGCTCCCTGCTCCGCAGGGAGAACTGCTTCTCCCTCTCCCACTCCCCCTGCTTGTGTTCCCTCTCTCGCTGTCTCTCTGTCAAATAAATAAATAAAATCTATTAAATAAATAAATAAACAAACAGATAAATAAATAAATAAGCTCAAGTTTATTCCTATACTCTCTTCTACTGTTAAAACACCTCTAATTCTACAGCTATCCTATTTACAGCAGCCTGGAAAAGTCACGTCAGGAATTTGAGAACATTGCTCTCCTAGCTTTGCACAATCGAGCCTTATCCAGAGACCTCCGGCTAACTCTATGTCAGAGTGAACTTCCCTGAACAACAGAGAGCCTGGTAAAATGACATGCACGGAGGAAAGGATATAAAGACCCAGCGGTGAAGAGCCCTGTACCAAGTCCTATCACCTGCAGAAAAGTGAGAAAGTGAGAAACTCTGACCAAAAGAAAAAAGCATTACATTTTTTTTTTTTTGGACAAATTTGCAGATTAGCTCATGCAGTAGATCGAAAGTAGATAGCATATTTGTTTGGGAAAGATTAACTTAAATCAGTGGAAAAACCCATAAATCCCTTTCAGCTATAAACCAAGGGCATCCAGCTCCAAGAACTGGTGGGTGTCTGTGTGGGCTCAGCTGCTCGCCACAGCCCTAGTAACAACTAGTAACAAATACCATCCCCTCCACTTGCAGTGAGAGTGTAAGACTGACATAAGGGGTTGTTAGTCAAAGGCAAATTTTGCTTATTTAAATTTGAAACAAATCCTTGCCCATCCTCGATTTTGTTTTACTACTCTGCTTTTTAGTTAGAATATATGATTTCACTTTCAGAGCACATCTAAAAAATTAAATGTGACATTAAGTTTATTATAAAGTTATTGAACTTACCGGGGAAGGAATGAAGGCTTCATGAAACTTCTTTGGATTAATTCTCAATACACCCTTTAAAATAAAAAAAAAAATAAAAGCTGTGAAAATTTAACTAGTTATCTACCTAGAAGCTTTCCATACCTATGTTATTCTCCAATAAAACGTTTTTGAATTAATTAAACAGCTCAATCTAGAAAAAAATTTAGGCCTAGGAGAACTACTCATTTAATGCATGAAACATGATTTCTACTGATGTCTGCAACACAGGGTTCCATCAAAAACTGAAAGCCCACACTGGCACCTGGCTGTGAACAGGCAGAGGTGAGAAGGAACAGAGCTTGGCATGGAGTGGGAAAGTGGCAACTACTGGGATTTTATGTGCCCCCGTATGCTAGGCTTCACATTGAAACCTTTACTTTAAGAAAAGATTATAGGGGATTACGTCTCACTACATAATGGCCTTTTTTATTCACTGAGATCTTTCTATGCTTGCTTGTTTCCGTGACAATTTTCAAAGTGATACAGGTTGATTTCCAACCTGCATACTTAACCTTGAGAGACCAGATGCATATTTTTTTACTCTGGCCCTTCTGCAGAGCTGAATGAGTCAATAATTCAAAATGGTCCAGAACCAGCTCTTAATGTAAATGGGAATCCTGGCTCCGACAGCCAGGCCACCCAGTCTGCCTTCAACTTCATGTTATTCCAGCACCAAATCAGGGTCTGCTTCTATTTACGCACAGGGGTGCAGGTGGGGGCCGTCTTCAATAGTAGTTCAGTATTTTAGGCTCTTGCAGGAAGCTGTAACCCTCCCAAGGTTCCAGCTGCATTTGAAGGCCACTGGAACACATGGAGAGAGGCAGTTATTTTCCTAAGAGCCAGACTCAAAGGGTGGCTTGAGAAAGTGTTTTAAATAACATTTTCCCCCTAAAATGTTGAAAGACTCAAAGATACATTAATTAATAAAATAGGTGAGGGCATAAAATAAAGGAGAAAATAGTTCTCCCCTTCACTGGTGCACCATGTATGCTTAAATTACAAATGGCCATGCAACAGCTTATACTATTGTTAACATCCCAAGCAGACTTAATTCAAAATTTATTGAATACTATATTCAAGACCCTGAGACAATGTAGAGAGAGATGATGACCAAGCTCAGCCCTTGTTTATGAAGTAAAATATGACGGATGCTGTAAGCGAGGATACAGCTGACTTTCAACTGGGGGCGCTAGGAAAGGTTCCACAGACAGTGTCTGACCTGGTCCCTGATGGAGGAGAAAAACTTGCCGATAAATCAGAAGGGAAATGCAGGCAAAGAACACCATGTAAGCAAGAGTGCTTAAGAGGGCAAATACTCTCCCATCATGCTGTAACTCTGCTTAGGGTAAGAGAGAGAGGGGACGGGAGACAAGGTTGGCAAAACTCCCCGAGGCCAGACCCTTTTCATGAATGTCACTGTAATTTCACTTCTAGAACAGCTGTTTTTCTGTTGGGGGGAGGGAGACAAAAGGCTTATTACATTTATCCTAAACTTTCACCTACTCATCCAACAAAATTCCCTGAAGATTCACATGGCAGGCACTATGCTAAGTGATGGGGACACAATGGAAAGAAATAATAGTCTGCCCTCACAGAGCATAGTGTCTAGTGAAGGGAAGACACTCCTTGATTTATTTATCAAGTCCATTCACTCAAGTTAAATTTTTTAAAAATTCATTTTCTCATTCCAGGCATTGCTTTCTGACCTAAGGTTTGTTTTGTTTTTCCCCCTCAATTGCTATTCTTCTATCATCCCTTTCAGTTCAGTGAATGGTTACAACCTCTACACCACAGTATAGAGATAAGAATCTCTTCTGCTGTCAAAGGACCTTTAAGTACAGAGCATGTAGAGAGTCTAACGCTGGGCTCAAAAGAAAGAGGTTGCTCAGGGCTCTGTCTAGGCTCTATTTAGAAGAACAGATATGAAAGATTCTACTCTTGATCCTCTATCCCAAACATCCTGATATATAAAAGCATACAGGGAACGACAGAAGCCTTGTTCAAGAAAAACATTTGCAGTTTTGAGTGGAGCATACTCTTAAGAAATGGACCTCAGGAACAGACTCCCTTGGGAGTGCAAATCGTACTGAGGAAAAAGAAACTCTAACAGAATCCCACAGAAGACCAGAGTCCACCCCACAGCCTGATGAAAGAAGCTGTCAGTAAAGCATGTCAAGAAATGGTCTTTTTTTTTTTTTTATACAACATAATGGGTTTATATTTAATATAGTACTTCTCATCATGGAGATGTTACTAAGTTAATACAAAGGTTTGTTTTTTTTTAACATTAAATCTCTTCTCCATTCCAATGTCAAGATATTTTTTTACATTAAATTACATATTGTCTCCATCTTAACATTAGATATTTTTCTTACCCCCCCAGGCTTCCCCATTGTAACTTTAAAATAATTTTTTTCCCCTCCATTCTTGATCAAAATCTACATCCTTTGAAGAGCATGTCATTAGCTCCTGCTATATCTCCTCAGTGCTGTCACTGGTTCAAACCTTCTCACTAATGTTTTGACTCGTAGCTCAGTGTCTTCCTCTGCATCGCCATTCCTATAAACACTTATGGAACTTTGCATCCACATGGTTGACCAGACAACCCTAGCTGGTCACTCCAGCCACCTTTTCCTCCACCCATGCTAACCACTCTCCCCCATGTTCACTGCTGTCTCTTGGCACCGTTGCTAATGATACCGACTCCAAACATGAAAACTCAAATATCACACTTTCTGATCACAATCTTCTATCCTCCCATCTCACTTAAGGTAAAAACCCCACTTCAATAATTCTTTGTCTTCACTAAGACTTCCAACCCATGGACCTGATCACACTTTGTCCCCACACCGGGTTGAGTCACTTCCTTGGCCACTTAGTTGCCATGGCCTGTCATTACCTCCTGCCCTTGGAAACCCTGAGTCTTGGGCCACTCTCCCTCCTCTATTCAACTAGCAAGCCCTCACTCTCAGTTAACCCCAACTATCTGCCTTCTCCATGCTCACACCCAAGGAGCTGAATGTTACTGTAGAAAAATACCACACAACGGGGCTAATTAGCCTAACTTGGCAATCACAAACATGTTTTATTTGGCTTACAGGATGTTTGAGAATACTTAAAGTAAAGGAATTTCACACATAAATTTGTATTTCCACATTTTCTTGAAAAACCAGCTAACCCTCCATGGCAGCAACCACCTGAGTTGAATAACAAACACTTCTCTTATAGCAATAAAAAAAAAAAATCTCAAGTAACACTTATATAAGTATACTACATGTTACACGCTGTTTTAAGAGCTTATATCCATCAACTAATTTAACCTTCAAATCAGTCCTATGAGGTAGGTACTACTGTTCTCCCTTTTACCAATAAGAACACCGAGGTGCTGAGAGGTGCCCACCTGCACACCACATTCAAGCCCAGCAGTCTGGTTCCAGAGTCCTCGCTCGTCACTGCCTCGACTGCCGCTGCTTGCCACAGTCATCACCAGGGCCTCTGCTCATTTATGCCATCTGCTCCCTTCCCCCAGCACCACCTTCCAACCCTCTGTCTTCCCTGTCTCAGTTAATGGAAACATCATCCATCTAGTGGCTTGACTCAAAACTTAGGAGTCCTGCTTTATTCCTCCCTTTGCCTCACCTTCACATTTAAGCCATCAGCTTCCTGCCAGTTCCGGCTCCACTGCAGTCCATTCCCGGCCATCTTCCCTGCCACCGCCCTTCTCTCCTTGTTCCATTTACTCTAATGGCCTTCCACATGGTCACCCAGCTTCCACTTGAGTCTGTTCACCTCACAACTGCCAGAGAGATGTTTTTAAAGCATAAAATACACCATGCCCTCTCCCTACTGAAGCCTTTCAGTTTTAATAAAATCCAACTCTCCAACACGGCCTCGCCGTGGCGGCTGCCTGACTCTCCAGCTTATTCCTGCATTGTAATTCCCTTTGCTCGCTATGCCCAACAGCTCCCTTTATGTTCCGCAAAAACACCAAGCCTTTTTTCTGCCTGCCATTCTTCCACTAGCTGGTCTCTCTGCCTATGCTGTTCTTTGCCTAATTCTCCTGAGAGCTGGCTCATTTTCACCCTTCAGATTTCAGTTCAGAAATCACCTGCTCAGAGCAGCTAACCACCCCATGTAAAGTGGCTCTCTCTAATTCTTCATTTTTCATCTTTCTTACTTCCCTAGCAGTGCTCAGCACATGCTGTAATTCCCTCTTTATGTCTTTGGTTGTGTTTGCTCGTCTCCCCCAGTGAATCACCTCTCTCACTCACTGGTATATGCCTGGCACTTAGTAGACAGTCAAGAAACATGAGCTAATTAATGAATGCTACAGAGCTGAAGCTCTCCCACCAGCCCTGCCAGTAATTTTATGAAGATCATCTGTGCCTTCCGAATGGTTGGGCAGCACACTGTAATGTCACCTCTATTTTTCTCTTTAATTCATACCCAAATGTTCTCCAGCTGATTTCAGTCTTAACAAATGGTGAAGGTCCTAGAAACTAACCCATCCTGTACTATCTTCCTGGACTAGGAATTCTTGTAAGGTCCAATAACAACTTTACACCAATATTCTATTTTCAGGGGAACTCTGACATCATGCCTCAGGTGCTCTGGGGGATCAACCTGAGCCACCTTCAGCCAAAGCATCACCTGAGATCAGGAAACCAGCCAATTCTTCCATCATACCCATGTTACTCTGGCCATCACCCCAAATCTGAGTTCCCTCCAGGCCTATCCCATACTTTCATTTCTTCCAACACCTCCTATAACAACCTCCTATACCGTATCTATGGAGAAAGGATGTATGTATGATGTGAGAACTTGTTTACAAAAAAAAAGGTTGTTTTTTTTTTTTCAAAATTACATGTACATGATCATGTGTTACTGCTGGTCAGTTCAAACACAGGAAAGAGATTCCTTTGGTCACTATGGATTCCTCATTCCTACATAGGGCAAAACACCAATGAAATGTCAAATTATTGTTCGAAGTATTGAAAACAAAATAAAAGTATTATTCTACTTCTATTTTTAAAATATCTCCTTAATATCTCTCAATAAAAGTTTCTTCTCTGGATGGGGAGAAAAAAAGGGATGTCACAATATACTTAAATTTGAATATAAAAGTTAACAAATACTTACAAGTGTATCTAATAAGTTTACTTTTCTCCAACATCTAAATAGCTTTTCTTGTCTAGCTTTTTATCTTACCCATCAAAGCCTGAACACATAAAGTTCATATCAGAAAGCAGATGGACTCTGTTTCCCTGCCTATGAAAATCTTATTTACAGTGTTGTATATTTCACACGGTGACCTCATATCTGGAACCCATTCCTCTCCCCATCTGCAAAGAACAACTGTTCTCATCTGTGGGGGGAGGCTCTGGCTCCAGAGTCTCATGATGTCACAAGCCAGGAGGAATCACTTACAAACTCCTGGGAAAGAGAGTTGTTATATTGATCAGCTTTTTGTTTTGTTTTAATATCAGCAAAGAGTTGCTTCAAAAGTAAAAATTAATAGGAAGGAGCAAAAACTGTATCATTCCAGAATATTTTCCTCATCCTATCTCTATAAATTCTATAACCAAAATTGTAAGCAATTTTTCTTCCAAGTTACAACAGAGTTTCCCTCACCCTTCTTCAAAAGACAGTACCCTGATCCTTTATTCACTCAGTAAATAAATATTTATTCAATATAAACTTATTACACATCAATCAAATGTCACACACTGGGCTAATTTGTGGGAATAAGAGACAACCCTCCCCACAAGAAAGTGAATGGTCTATTTGAGGAAACACAAATACCAAGAAATGATAATAAGTTTAGAATAAAGGATAAACAATGAAGTCAGATTCAAGAAAATAGTCATGGCCAATTCTGACTGGAGAATTAAAATAAGGCTTCTCAAAAGGGGTAACATTTAGGTAGGGACGTAAAGTTCAAGCACAATTACATCAAGATAATGGGAGAAAGCATTCCAAGCACTAGGAACAGTGTGTACAGAGTCATGGAGAAAGCAAAGAGCAGAGTTTTTACAGGGAAGGTCTTAAAGATCAGGGTGAATAGAGCAGCATGTACCTGAAGGAGTGGCAGGAGATGAAAATGGGAAAAGCACAAAGGGTCCTCGTCCGTGAAACAAGATGAAGGCCAAGAAACTTGTAGATAAAATGGAGTTCAGTAAGTGGATTGAAGGGGAAAGAGCAAATGAACGGATTAAGGAAGGGACAAATGTCCAAATGCAGCTTCAACTCCCCTGAGAGGCCTCCTCAAAGAAATCCAAGAGAAGTTAAAAAAGGAGGGGGGCTAATAGTATCTCTAAAATCAGAAAGATCAACTCATTTGTTAAAAAGTTTTCCATTCAAGAGTCAATAAAAACACTAATGCAAAAAGACATGAGCACCCCATGTTCACTGCAGCATTATTTATAATAGACAAGTTATGAAAACAACCTAAATGTCCACTGAAGGAGGAATGGATAAAGAAATTGTGGTACACACACACACACACACACACACACACACACACACACACACACTGGAATATTACTCAGCCAAAAAAAAAGGATGATATCTTGCCATTTGTGACGACATGAATGGACCTCAAAGACATTATGCTATGTGAAACAGGTCAAACAGAGAAAGACAAATACTGTTGGGTCTCTTATATGTGGAATCTTAAAAAACAAAACAAAAGAAACCCCTCAGAGATAGACTGGTGGTTGCCAGAGGAGGCGGGGATCCAAGGCAAAGGCAGAGGGTAGATGAAGGCAGTCAAACAAAAAAAAGAATCTACATTAATCATATGTGCACTTGACCACAGGTAAATATAAAAAGGTGATTAAAAAGGAAAAGAAGATGACAGTATCTGTTCACTGGCTGGATCTTAAGCCAAAACAAATATAAAAGCTGGGCTCTCAGAATGAGAGAAATGAGAGAATGTGCTCAGAATGGAACACAACCAACATTTGCAAGTGAGCCAGGTCACCCATGGGAATGCCTCTATATACCAATCCAGTAATTATAAAATACGCTTAATTCAAAGAATATGTGCCCCTACCTCACTCTCCGTCTCATCATTACCTACTTCCTGCCTCATATTTCATGCCTAAGGAGACCTAAGCGGCCTTAACCCACATTGTTTCACAAGTCATGTTTTCATGGGTGCTACTACCTCTACCACCTTCTCACATACAGATCACTCATGTAATAGGCCCCAACTAGTCATCCTTCAATATTCACCAAGAAGTCACCTCCTCCAGGCTCCAAGTTTCCCCCAACATCCTCTCATACAGCCTGGTAACACTTTTATTTGAGCACTTACTATTTATCCCCAAATCATCCATTCACATGACTGCCTGCCCGCACTGGGCTGGGAGCTCAAAGAACAGAAAACCAATCCCATCCACTTTCATCTCGAGAGCATCCAGGCACCACACTCCCAACTATGAACTGTTCCCGGCTCACAGTGGATGCTCAACAAACTTTTGCTGAGCCAAACCACTGACCTAGATTGTAAAAGTATTCTGTAAACTATAAAGCACTCAACAAATATTGTCTGGTGCTATTTAGTGGTTCCTTTTCAAGCCTAGTCTCCATCATTTAGCATCCACGTGCTCCAGGCAAACTGAACTCTCAATGCTCCTTACAGCCAAACCCTATTTCCCACTTCTGTCTCAGTAGCGCACACTGGTCTCTCTGTCCGTAAAGCTCTTTCTCTTACCTTCACTTGTTCCAACTGTGCCAATTCATGGCCTGGTCCAAATATATGCTTTCCAATAAAACATTCCTAGACAAAAAAAAAAAAAATTCCTAGACAACCCTAACTTTAAGTAATGGCTCCTTCCTCTCAAATCTCAGAGCACTTGGTCTGTCTGTCTTGTGGTGCTTACCACCCCAAACCGCACTATAGGTGTAGAAGTGGGAAGCCCTGTGCCTGCTCTCGCACCATGTCCCTCAAGCACACAATACAGAACAATAAACAGTTTAATGAGCAATAGATTACTTCTGATTCCACATAGTCAAGGAATAGCCGCCTATTATGTTTTAAGCACCTGGATAAGTGTTCCTCTCTTCAAGCCGTCTGAGACATCCTCCTTGGACATGTAGGTTTCAAATATGCTCTTTTTCTTCCCTCGTATGGACTTGTTCTTTGACTTTTTGTCACCTGGCGAAGCACCAACACCATGTGGGCCAACCACAGAGGACACACCTAGAAACATGAGGCAGCAATCAACTCTTTCCTCAACCAAAACATCTCTGTATTTTTAAACTGAAGACATTTTACCTTTTTTTTTTTAATGTAGAAAGACTAATGAAAGAATGAAATGCTCGGATAATGATTTCAAATAGTCACAAAAAGGAAAGAATGAGTAAGGAAACATGAATAAAATGTACACAGATGAGACTTAAGCTTTAAATCAGCACCACAACATGCACAGAACACAATCTGAATAATGGGTTCAATATGCTTTGCTGTTTATAGACACAAACTTTTTAAAATAGGAATTACTAAAAGATTGTCTCTTTTCTGGAGGAAACCAAACAAACTTTTCTGTACTCAATATAACAATACATTAAGACAACAAGAAACCACACTTAATTCTAGAATAAATAACATGGAAGAAAAACAGGTCACCAAAAGAACTATAGTGGCCCTCAGCCCTAAGACCCGCCCTGTGCCTCCATTCCACTGTTATTTCATTTCAGGTCTCCAGTTGCTAGAATAGACTCCATTTTCCTTTTGCTACCTCTGGGGGTCCCCAGGGGCCGGAGGTTCAGCCTGCAGTCAGGATGGCTCATTACTGGTTCCAAGGTCGCCTCTTCTCTCCAGATCCAGGGGAGGCCTCCACTGCTCAGCTCAGAGTTCTTCCTGCCTTGAGTAGCTCAGTCGTCACTAGCTGAAACCAAAGAGAGACAAGTGACTGACGAGCAGTTAACCTGTAGCCTCCTCCGTGCTCTCAGAAATGTAGTACGCGCATGATAAAAACATCAGAGGGGCGGGGGGCCTCCTGGGTCCCAGTGTCACTTTCTCCTAGGCAGTTAGACAAGCACACCATCTGTCCTCAGTTTCTTCTCAAGGTATCGCTAGCCTGTTTGTCTGGGCCACTTCAACTAAAAACCTCCACAAACAGGGCAATGAGGTGGGGATGAAAGAGTTCTGCAGTTCCATTCGGCTTCTGAAATGGATAAGAGCGGGAGGGAATAGAATTTTGAAAAAGGGTATAAAGATCTGGAATCTCAAGGCTATAATGAAATAGGTACTAAAGTAGGACTCCAAAGATGCGGCACTTATTAAGTTTCACGTCGGACAAATGACGTTCATCTATGAAACCAATTTAAATTAATTCCTTTGGAATTCATCAACAAAACCTAATTCACTGCCACAACCGGATATCCAAAACTATGCAGGGAACCCCAGGTGGTTCACTAGCTTTCAAAAAATGGCAACACTGCAGTTAGACATCTATTTCCCTGCTCTTACCTGACATCACTTCAAACCAATCATCTGTCCGCAAGCTCAAGGCAGCTGCTTCTAAGGAATATAAGGCAGCTGCCTGGATCAGCAGACTGGAATCCGGGGCCCTGGAGCTGGCCCCTGGCCTTCCACCTGGATACTGAACACATCAACACAACTTCTACTTTCTACTCTCAGCTGGCTACCAGCCCAGGGATTCAAGCCTATACTTGCAAATTTCCAAAATCCTGGTGGGCAGGCTTCTTTCCCATAAAATGGATCAAGATGTCATTCTCAACACTAGCTTCCATTTCCTGTAAATTTCCCACACACATCCTTCACTGAAATGACATCATTTTTCTTTAAATTGAAATTAATACTAACTCAGGAAAAGACAAGCTACAAAGACAAAGGGTAATAGGCCACTTAGCAATACACAAAGAGATTGAGGGATAAAGTAAAAAAAAAAGGCAAGAAGGGAGAGAAACAGATGGTCTTAGATAAACAACAAGGTAATGGGAAGGGCACACAGAGGAGGAGGCCAGACTCTCTGATCGTTTAATTCAGAAGGCATTCGTCCACTTATTAATTCAACAAATACTTGGACAATGTACTATATACTAGGCACAGTGAAGAACACAAAAGCTAATTAGAGTTATAAAAATCATGTTGAAATAACAATACAAGTTGGGAAGTGATAAGCACTCTCTTTTTTTAAGTATGGGTAAATGTACTTATGATGGAAGAAAGTATCTCTGAGTCAGGAAATCTGAGAGAGCTTCAGGAAAGATGTGAAGGAAGAACTGAGAATGTGAGAAAAGCATGCTGCTGGCAAAAGAAAACAAAAGTAGAGACACAAACAGAAAAACACAGGCAGGTTCTTACAACATTAATTCCATTTGGAGAGAGTCCAGCCTGTATGAAGGGAGGCAGTGGCAAGGAAAATAAAACAAGCTGGAAGGTCTAGAAAAACAGCCCGTTTTTCACAGGCAGTAGGGAATTTCTGAAGCATGAATGAGCAGAAGAGAAGAACAACAGATCAGAATTGTGTTTCAGGAAAAATGAACCTGGCACAGGATTCAGAGTCATCTGGAATTGAGAAAGCGGCAGCTGCACCTTAGGAAAGAACCAGAACAGACAGGGAGAAAGGAAGGAAGGCCTGAACTGAACAAGCACACACTGAAAAGAAGACACCCATGACATGGTATTATTACACAGGACAAACTGGTCCCACTTGGCAGCCAGGCAGATCTGGAATCTCGAGAGCAAGAAGGTGGGAAATGTTCAAGATTTCAAGCAAGGAGACTGGGAGATTATAACATCACTGAGTTAAAGATAATGAATTCCACTTAGGGTGTTCCCTATCTTTACGTGAACATATACCTCTACATACACCTGTACTCATGGAAATGTGCCTCTGTGTACACCTCTAACCCAAATACTTGGAAACCAGAGCATAACTTAGATAAATTAGCCATCCATTTGCATAAAAATGGTAACCCAGAGTTTTCTAGAATGTACAAGACTGCCAAGAAAGGCTAAGCTGACACAGAAGGGGCCCAGGACAAAATCTGGGTTAGGGCAACTTTTAGGAAATGCAAAGAAGAAGTAGAAAATATAACAAAGAAGCTAACAAAGATGTAGGAAAAGAACCAACACAGTCAAATGTTAAGAAAACAAGGGAGAAAATAACTTCCAAAGGAGAACGAGTTAAAGATCACGGTTGACAACCACTACTGAGTAAGACTGTATTGTAATTTGTATTCATGGCAGTAATTGTAAATTGTATTCATGGCAGCCTTGGGTAAAGTGAAGGGTTGGGGGCAAGCTGCAAGCAGGAAAAAGACAATACAAAAACAAAAGCCAGAATTGAAAATGGGTGCTTTGTATCAAGTCCTGATGCCCCGCAAGAGCTCAAAACTGACTGCCAGTTAAGTGAAATGAAGACCAGGATCTCAATTCAAATGTCTTAAGATCAGCTGCATCTCTAACTTTCCTTCACAGCAAATACCCCCCAATTGATGTGATTCATACCTAACTTGTCTCTCTAGCTCAGGAGGACAAGGAACGTCCTTGGGTTCATTGTTATAACCCCAGTGACTCCTATAGTACCTGGGGTGGAATATGTGTTCATTATTCACTCCTTAAATGAGTAGATGAGTTTATTTTTATGAATAAGCAGTGAGAACACCTAAGCAGAACAGGGTCATTCAGAGAAATTACACTAAAAGCAAGTCAGCAAAGAACAGGAAAAGAACACAGGACCCAGGACACAAAGTTGGCAAGAGTCAGCCAAATAGCTGGGCAGAGAATCAGGTTGCCTTTGGGTATCAAAGTACTGGAAGGACATGGAAAGATTCCAAACAGAGAAGATACTAAGCAGAAGATGAATGAACAAGCAACCTTCCCAGCAACATGGGTCTAAAGGCCCATTAACCCAGGAGAAATCCTGGGCCCCCCTACCTTAACACACTGAAAGGACAAGTCAATTTCTAATCCTCATCAGCTTTCAGAAAGAGAGACACTGATGTACAGTGTCTTATCATGGAAATAGCTGTATATTTTGAAGAGTTGGCCTGGGGTTAGGATGAACAGGCAGTAATGATTAACAGTGTCCCATGGTACAAAAAGGCAGGTATGAAGCAGAATGGGGGGAAAGGCACTAGACTTGAGAAGGAGTAAATCTGAAGAAATAATCTAGGTGAAAGAAGTGGTGTCTTGAAACCCTTTATATTCCCCAAACCTAGCACAATGCATAGTGCAGAGCAGTTGCTCAAATATTTGAATTAAATAAAGCCTATTTGGAACAGAAACAGAAACAGCTTACAATGAATATCCACTAATGAGAAATTTAAGCAGGGCCAGGACTAGTGTGAGGCAAGCCAGGCACCTAGGATGCAAAATTCTTAAAAGGAAAATCATGCAAGTACCAACCCTGCACCCTGCACTTGCAGGACTTCGAGAGAGACTCCTGAAATGTTTATGCCCTAGGCATCTCATCGCCTTACCCTATATCTCAGTCCTGATAAGAAGCAAGAGCAGATGAAATTTATGAACCTGGGAAGTAAAGGAAACCCAAGGAGATAAAATCAAAAGAAAAGTTTAAAAAGAGAAAAGGTTGAGCCTATTCAGAAGCTAAGATGGGGCCAATAGAAAGCAAGACATGGTAAAAACAAATGAAAGAACACACTATTGATGGAATAAATTTTTTAAAAAGTTTAAAATAAACCTCACTGAAATTAGAGGAATAAACAATTTATACTACAAATAATTAAGAAACACATGAAATAATCAACAAGTTGTATTAAGACACTACTTAACAAATTGCCAATACAGTGTACTTTATAACACGTTCTAGAATAAAATTCAGTTTGAGTAAAATTTAAATGTTTAAAAATGAGGGAGACAGGGCGCCTGGGTGGCTCAGTTGGTTAAGCGACTGCCTTCAGCTCAGGTCATGATCCTGGAGTCCCGGGATCGAGTCCCACATCGGGCTCCCTGTTCAGCGGGGAGTCTGCTTCTCCCTCTGACCCTCTTCCCTCTCATGCTCTCTATCTCTCATTCTCTCTCTCAAATAAATAAATAAAATCTTTAATAAAAAAAAAATGAGGGAGACAGGGGTGCCTGGGTGGCTCGGTCAGTTGGGCATCTGCCTTCAGCTCAGGTCATGTTCCTGGGGTCCCTGCTCAGTGGGGAATCTGCTTCTCCCTCTCGCTCTGCTGCTCCCCCTGCTTGTGCTTTCTCTTGCTCTCTCTCTCCCACTCTCTGTCAAATAAATAAATTAAATTAAATCTTTAAAAAAAAAAATGGGTGGCTCAATTGGTTAAGCGTCTGACTCTTGATTTTGGCTCAGGTCTCAATCTCAGGGTGGTGAGATCAAGCCCCGAGTCAGGTTCTGCACCGGCCATGGAGTCTGCTTAAGATTCTCTCTCCTCCTCTCCCCCTCCCCCACTACCCACCGCACACACTCACACACACACACATGCTCTCTAAAAAAAGAAAAAGTGTGTGTGTGTGTGTGTATAAGAGAGAGAAGGAGAGGGAGAGAGAAGATGGGAAATGATGCCCAGAATGGCTGAATAAGGAATTTGACAAATATTATCCCCTAGAACAAAAATAACAATAAACCTGGATAAAATTATCAAAACCAACTATTTAAGAATCAGGATATGGACCAAAGACATACAAAAAATTGAGAAGTGTTTATTCAAGAAAATCTACTGAATCTTGTTAGGAACAAAGGAAGTGTGTGGTGGCTTAACCTGGAGTTCCCACCATCCCACACACGCTCCCAATCCCTTAGTATGAAAGTCCCACCAGGGCAGAGCAAGCTGTGAAGACTGGCAGCTCCACTTACCAGAGGGAGCTAAATTTCTTTGGAACAGAGCAAGAAGAATTCCATGCCCAGGGGCATTTTCAAAAACAATAATGATTCCAGGAACA